GAGAGAGAGAGAGAGAGAGAGAGATGTAATTACCGCATATTCTTTAGCAAGTTTGATTAAGTCAATAATATTTTCATCATTAATTGGTGTTATTTTAATCATCTTGTATTCATTGTAGTCAACACTTTGCGCATCGCTATGGTGTACATTATATGTCAAGACAATTGTTATAAACAAAAAATTATAATAAATAAATAAGTGAAACTTATTATTTGACATTTTAGAATTTTATTTTGTAATTTGTAATAAAATACACTAAAATTTTATATTGCTTATTAATAGGAAGTAAATGCAACCATTTATAATTTTATAATAAGTTGCTTAGACCCATTTTTGTGTTAGTTTAATCACAAGATCATATTTTTATAGCACTTGTGTTTATGCAGTAAAAACAAGCTGGAATTAAGACCCCACTCATAAACTGTATGTGATAAATACATTCAGGTACATTTATATTACATTTAAGTACATTTACAATTTACTAATATCTTGGTTTACAGAAATTAGAATAAAGTACTGTATTTAAAATACTAAAATACATTATTAGACTATTTTAATTGTTAAGCTAATTTATAGAGAATTTTCATTTTAGACTCTAGAATTAAATTTTAATTATTTGATAAACAATCGCTTTTAAAGTCGCTTTTTCATAGAGACATCAAACGTGCAATTCTTTGGATATCATAATGGTCATTTATTTTATCATAACTTTATTCCATTAATTATTAATTATTAATGCAATGAAAAATCAAAATAATATTCAATGGTAGTTAATTTTATTTATTATTAATATTTATTTTTAAAAAACATTATAAAATATATTTAAATTTATCAATTAAATTAAATTCATAGTTCACCAAGTACCGCTTTTATGCCGGCCCAGGTCTCTGTAGCAGCCGAGCGTATTTGGCTTGGTGGTAAAATAAAACCATATTGGCCTTTATCTCCTGCAATATTGGTAATATAAAATGAGGGTGAATTTTAATTAAAAATTTAATGAACTTACTCAATTCGAGAGCAAACACTACTTTGCAACCTGCGCTATCGTAGGCCCAGTCGATACTGCTGCCCGATGCTTTGTCTGTAATTTTAGCATGTTAATAAATAATGTTTAATCGAAATTAAACAATAATAAAACAAAACTTATTACTCGTAATGACAAAGACTTACATATAGTGCGAGCAATGGTTCCCTTATTGAATACTAGACCACTTGTGGCCCGAATGGCGTCGACGGCTCGGGTGGACAAGCGCTCGAGTTGGGCGTAATTGGGCGGCGGGACAGACGTGTAACCGTACGGATACATCCAGAGCTGACTGAACGAGTGGATGGCAAAGTATGCGGCGATTTGACCACGTTTGGACAGCACCAGATTGGCCAGCGCTTTGGTCTCCACCTCACTGAATGGCTTGACCCCCGGATACGCCTCACCGCTCGGGTCCAGTTGAGTACCCGCCTGTCCGAAGTGCGAATCAAAACTGCCAAATAAATTGTGGTTTATTGGTCAGCCATAATTATTATATTTTTGAAAGTTGATAAAGTTTAACATTTTTTCAATAATAATTCTTGATAAATCAATTACAAAAATCAAATTGGTATCAGTTATAATAATGTTTACCAATCTGTATAATAAATAGTTTTCTATATAGTGCAAGTTATGTTGATTTTTTTTATTACAGTTTTTCATTCATTGCGTTAAATATTTACTTTAGTTTGAGATGGGATGAGATCCACACCTGTGTATGTGTTTAATTGTTTAATTTGTGTATTTGCAATAAACATGCTTATTTAATGTTGATAATAAATCAGTGTTAAAGTGGTTTTATATATTATAATTGACCACACTCAAAACAAAACATGGTGACAACTCACTTTCTATTAGGATCAGCGCCTCTCTGACCGCCTCTTTGTGGCGATCGTGTCTTACGCCACATGCGATTCACTGTATGGCTGTACACATATCTATAATACGTCAACTTAATTGTCATATATCTATATATTTATGTAGATGTTTAGCACAGATGTCATACCCGTCCGGATTCAAACTGGGAATAACTATAAACTCAAACTTTTTGAGCAACTCTTCATTGATGGAGTCCGTGATCAGTGTATTGGCCATCCATAGACACGTGGCCGTCGACACCTTGGTTAAATAAATGAGTAAATTTAAATTTATATTATTATATTAGACGTAGTGCACACACGTACCCATTCACGAGCGTGAATACCGCACTCAAACACTATAGTCTTTTTGGGCTCTTTAACATCGGTGTTAGTTATGGTGAGGAATGGTATCTGTCGGCCTTCGTATGACTTTCCCATACTATTATACACCACTTTAGAGTCTTAAACAAACAAATATTGTCATTTTAAAATATTAACCTAACGGCACACTCCATCGCTACCCCTATACAGTAAAACCCCGGTTTTGACAGACACTTACTATTAGTGCTAACTCGTTGTAATTCGGCAATAATCTCGTCATAGCTGTGATAAGTGGACTGATAGTCGAAGAAAGAGCGGAATCGCCGCAAATTCCTGCTATTCTCGTCCCTCTCGGCGTTCAACATCTTCTGGAAGTTATCGGCCGTCACTTCAAACCCGATGCGAGACTTATTGAGCGCCACCAGAAATTCGGCGCCGATCTTCTCGCCCGGCACTAGCGTTAGCACCGGACGCATGTCTGGCATCGGGGCGTTCCAGTAGTCCATCTAAACCGGGTTACAAATTGACTACTTATTTAATTTGATTTTCAATTATACACTGTATTATAAATTATAAATCAGTTATTAGACTATTTGCTGCAGATATATGCAATGACAATTTAATTAAATTAAATTAATTATTTTATAAAACTCACCTTAAAGTCGGAACCAAATCGACGAAGGTCGACCAACTGTTTGACATTTTTGGGAAATATCTTGATTAATTTATGACTGCTGTAGTCAACAGGCTTTTCGGGGGCACTGATGTTGTCCGCGCAATACACCAAACATAATACCAATGATGTGTATAAGCAATAAATTGTGATCATTTTGCTGTTAGCAATCATTCTTTAAATAATTTTCACAATTATTACCAACAATTGGCAACAATTTTTAATGTTTTATATTGCTGTATTATTTTTGGCAATAAATAATTAATCTGGATATAAATGTGCGGGTAATGAAC